ATCATCCAAAATCCAGGTTACTATTAAATCTATCTCGTCATAATATTTCATTTCCCTAGCAGCATCGCTGGGTTCCCATAGGGATCCCCACTACACGTGAAATCCAAATATTTTTTTTTATTACATCAGTCGTCTCCATTCCCCCTGTCTGGTAATATGCACTACAATTTAAAAACTGTCTCAATACCTCGTGCGGTATGAGCAAAATTAATTGCTCATAATCCAGTCCGGTATGGGATTTTCCAGCTCCTTATGACTAAATATACGTTTATGGTAAGGTTTACCCTATGTACCAAGTCTGTACACTCTTTCCTATGATACCCAGTGAGCTCTTTTTATTGATTTACGCATGCATATTTTTCATTGTATTTAACTCACGTGAGACTCGTACATTAATTAATAATAGAATATAGAATTTATGTTTCCAAACTCGTTAAGAAATAAAGAAAACGTAAAAAGAAATGAAGTAAAACATCATGATAGAATAAGATCCATTATATGTAATGGCATGAACAACAAAATAAAGTAAATAGGTCAGGGCTAAATTAACCAGGCAGGATACGATAAATAAATAAAACAAAATAAATAAACAACATGGAGTGAAAATAAAATGAAACAGATACAACGATCCAAGATGTATAATTGACACATGACTTCTAGATATACATGGCAAGATAAGGATAAAAATAGGTTAGACCAACAGAAAGGGAATAGACAACTACAAAACAAGTAAATTAGCAAATAAACAAGAATAAAATGAAAATAAAATAATAAACACCATAAGATAAGAATCAAGACAAAATAACAAATAGGTAGCACACAGTAAAATTAATGGCGAATACAGATAATCGTTTAATCGGCTCCATCGACAACTTGTATTTAATTATCAAGGGTTCACATAATAGTTTAAAATTGTGGTTTATTATCTATTAACTTTGATTTAACTGTAATAGGGAAAAGCTTGAGGAGTCCTTACTATGGGTCGGTGTTTAGACACCGTCTTTTTCAATATGATTTGTGATG